CTGGCCCCACACACTTAATCGCTGTGGACATTCACCCTCCACATGGTCCCACGGCCCTGCACCACTCTTGCTTCCTCTCTGCTGGCGGTGGGTGGTGCAGAATGGGGCAAAACGCCCCAAAAAGSCCCCCGGGAAGGCGGCGGTGCGGGCAGTGCCACCAAGTTGTCCCCGCAGGAGCGCCTGATGCTCTCCATCCTGCCCAAGCACGTGGCCGACGAGATGCTCAAGGACATGAAGAAGGACCCGAGCCAGAAGGAGCTGCAGCAGTTCAACACCATGTACATGTACCGGCACGAGAACGTCAGGTAGGGCCGGGGTGGGACGGAGGGGCCCGCGGGGCGCCGCGGCCGCCCGTGGGCGCTGACGCCGGCTCCCCGCAGCATCCTCTTCGCCGACATCGTGGGCTTCACGCAGCTCTCGTCGTCCTGCAGCGCCCAGGAGCTGGTGAAGCTGCTCAACGAGCTCTTCGCCCGCTTCGACAAGCTGGCGGCGGTGAGTGCCACRAGCGGCGCGGGGCTCAGCCCCGGGGACGCGGCACGGGGTTGCGCTATTTGGAGAGCCCAGCGTGCTCCGGGTTCTCCTTGCAAGCACTGCGTGGMAAGGGGTGAATTTCTGGCTGGAAAGCGTCCGGGAGGGGAACGGAAAGGGTGATTTGTGGCGGGCGGCGCGTCGGCCCGCTCGTGCCCCTTGCAGAAGCACCACCAGCTGCGCATCAAGATCCTCGGCGACTGCTACTACTGCATCTGCGGGCTGCCCGACTACCGCGAGGACCACGCCGTGTGCTCCATCATGATGGGGCTGGCCATGGTGGAGGCCATCTCGTAAGGGCGCCTCGCGTCCCGGCATCGCCCCGCGTGCCCCAAGGGAGCGGGTGGTGCCACGGGCGCCGCGGGCACCCTCCCGTGGCGAGGGCCTCACGGCGGGCGCCCGGCAGCTCCGTGCGGGAGCAGACGCGCACGGCGGTGGACATGCGCGTGGGCGTGCACAGCGGCACCGTGCTGGGCGGCGTGCTGGGCCAGAAGCGCTGGCAGTACGACGTGTGGTCCACCGACGTCACCGTGGCCAACAAGATGGAGGCGGGCGGCATCCCGGGGTGAGCGGCCGCTCGGAGGGGACGTCCCGGCGCCGCCGCCGCCGCTCAGCGCCGCGCGCCCCGCAGGCGCGTGCACATCTCGCAGAGCACCCTGGACTGCCTGCGCGGCGAGTTCGAGGTGGAGCCCGGCGAGGGCGGCTCGCGCTGCGACTACCTCAAGGAGAAGGGCATCGCCACGTACCTCGTGGTGGTGCCGCGGGCGCCGCTGCGCGGCGGCGTCAACGCCGCGCGCCCCCACCCCCCCCAGGGGGGCAACGAGCCCAGGCCGCGGCTCCGCCGCCCTCCCTCACCTCGAGCGGCGCCGGCCGCGGCGCAGAGCAGCGCGGCGAGCAGCAGGCGCGCGGCGGGCGGCATGGCGGAGCGGCGCGGCGGCGGCATGGCAGCGGGGCACGCAGCGCCCAGCGCGGCTCGCGGGGGCGCCCCCGCTGGTGCGGGCTCGGCGCGGCGGCGCTCGGCGCGGCTCCGCTCGGCTCCGGCGAGGCGGCGGAGGGAGGGAGAGCGCTGCGCGGCCCCGCTCCGCTCGGCGCCTCTCTCCGCCTCCCGCCCGCCCCCCCCTCCCTCCCCCGCCCCGCGGCGCAGCGCAGCGCGGCGCCCGCCGGCGGCTCCTAAGATGGCGGCCGCGCCGCTCGCTCGCTCGCGCAACCGTTACCAAGGAAGGAACCAAGGCGGGCGGCGGCGGGGGGCGGCGCGGTGCGGGAGAGCCCATGGGCACGGCCGCAACCATTGCGGGGGGGGTTAAATCCCTGCAGTGCCCTCAGTGCGGGGGGAGCTGCAGCCCCCGGGGGCTACAGGCAGGGCCAGGGCAGCTCCCTCAGCCCTAGAGCAACCCAGCAGCGGCTAAAACCTGCTAAAAAAACCCTTTAAATAATCCCCTTCGTATATCTTTTCAGCAAAAAGCAGCCTGTTCTCAGCAAACACAGCATCCAGGGCAGCAAGGATGACCCTTAGGGATGCTACAAACACCCACCTTGGAAGCCATGCGGGCCTGTTCAGGCCGTCCTTTTGGAGCTGCAAAATGCTCCGGCGCCTCTGCTTTGAGCACAGACTCATCTCTGCCTGGGGACAGCAGCAGGGCCTGCCCAGAGGGATGGCAGCACCCAAGAAACCTTTCCTAATATTCCTTTGACCGATTCTCCCAACTCCAAAAGGTGCACAGGAACCCATTTTGTAACAGAAAAGCTATTTGTGCTTCGGTCAAAAAATAAAATCAATTGCTAGAGCAGGCTGGTGGCAATGGGGAATACCCTTTCTGTGATCAGAGCTTGGATGACTAAAATGCAAACAACTTGCATAATTGGGAGTGACTACTCCTGTTTTGTACCTATTAGCCATTGCACTCCCACAGGGAAATAAAAATAAAATCCAGAATGTTCACGATCCTGGAGATGTGGCTTTTCTTTATTTTAAAGCACTTTGTGTGATTTAAATACAGCAACTGATCTGCTTTGAAAAAACTTTCCCCTCACAGTTACCTTCTCTGTGGAGTATCCCAGACTTGAGCTGGAGGAACCCAGCAGCAGGAGATGAGAAATCAGCTTGTTCATTGCCCATGGACAGTCCATGATGGCTCAGCAAGTTGACAGAATATGGTCTCTTGGAAGCTGTAAGAGAGGTGAGCTACTGCATTGGGACATTAAAAGGCAATCTGTTCTGCCTGCAAAGAGTTTTCTCCACCCTGAAAACCAATTGCTTTTGCTTGCTACCTCTTAAAAGCTTTACCAACACGCATGTGCAGGGCAGAAACAAGATCTGGAGAGAGAAATAACATCATGCCCCAAAGCAGTGCCCAGCAGTGCTCCAGCTCCTATCCTAAGCTAGCTAGCTGCCACTGCACTGCAACAAACTGCCCCATATTTATTTATTTCATAGCCTGTGCACCACAGGCCACCTGCTTTAATAACAGCTAAGACGTCTTCCTTTTTTTTTTTTTTTTTTTTTTTTAAAGGTAAAGCCTTAGTCTAAAACCCTTCGATTTTCTCAGCCTGTCTAACATATGCTGGATGGCAGATCATGTCAGAAGAAGCCTCTAGCCCATCTGTTGCCAGAGAGCCGAGTTTTTATGTTCTGCCAACACAGCTTCAGCTGACAGCATGGCTACGTTACATATTTTACTGCTGTCTGGAGAGTAGAAGAGCTGTCCAGCTCACCATGACTCTCATACTAGTCTTAGTGACTTCAGTCACCCCATGAGTAAAGATTTGTAAGGCAAAAATCATCAGTTAAGGGATGAATGCCTATTCATCAATGCATGACAAAATACAAAATTATTTGCTCAAATACTGGGTTTGGATTAGCAATATTACCATATACTAGGCTTGAAGGTCAGTATGAAAGTATCCAAAAAGGGTTCAGTAGTCAGTGGCCAGCTGGCACACAAACATGCATACACATATTAAAATACTTCCTGCAAAGCAATGCATTTTTTTATGCTTAAATTGGTAAACAACCTAGATTCATTAAGTATGTCAGGAAAAGAGAGTGCAAAGAGCAAAATTTGCTTTGCAGTCCACAAGACCATCTCATGCATTGTAGTTGGGGAAAGAACACTGCTATGAGCACGGAAGAGAAGGGGCCCTTCAGGGTCATCAGACTCTGATTTTTGATTCTGCAGAATTAGGGAGACATTTTAAAGAAAATAAATATTCTCTCCAGGTAAACCTTATTTATTGCATAGCGACACTATCAGCTCAGATTAATGAATCAGCTGCAGTGGTCATGGTGAAACTGGGACATTAACAAGAAAGGAGATGCTGATTGCAGTTACCTCTGCGAGCAAAACTTCTCCGAGTCAGTTGTGACTAAGACACTGATTTGATAAAGCCAGTAATCCTAAGTATATATTTTAAGTTCAGTTAGATGCTTTAGTTTAGCTAGATGACTAAGTGTTTTGAATTAGCAGTCCAGTGGCTGAGGACACAGACAGTGTAAGGGTTATGGAGGAGACATCAGACTGAAATTCTGATCCTAAGTCACCACTGACATTCCCTTGGCACTTAATCTAAAACTATGTGAAATATAAATTCACATCCAAATCTTTTATTTTTCCCCCTCTCACAACAAGATTTATGTTACCCAGTATGAAACGTGCTATGCACTAGTCCTGTTTGCCGTTAAGCAACAGCTATACTGTTTGCCAGAGGTAACTGCATTTCACAAGCAGAGATTCACACATTCTCTGAAATGATACATGCCATTATTTCAGAGCAATTCATAGAAAACTAACTTCAGCACCTTCATTTTTGCCACCTATCATCCTCCTACTCTCCAACCTGCTTCTCAAGCTCCCCCCAAAAATTGATTTTGATTTTATTAGTAAGCAACAAAACTGGAACAAATGGCTCCTGGCAGAACATGTTTTCTATTACAGCTGAAAAACTAGCAGACTGATGTCCTTGAAATGAACAGCATGACTAATGCCCAGCCTGCAAGGACCCAGGAGGACACATATTTATTGCACTTGTCAGAACGGAGCTGAGCAGCCAGAAATGAAAAGATAAGGTGATAGGTAAAAAAGAATGCCTCTGTCTGCTTGCTTCGTAAAGGCAGCCCGCACATATGCTGCACAAAGAGCGCTGAGACTTGCACAGTAAGTCAACAGCAGATCTAAGTGTGATCATTAGAGCTCATAATTAGTATATACACAGAATGTGCAGTTGTTTTTAGATATGAGACTTGGACTTCTCTTCAAAAGGAGTTCTATGAGGCAAGGGTCCAATCTCCAAATAGCCTAGAACTGGATTTTGGAGAGGGTCTAGTTTCTGAATAAACAGGCTAGAACTGAAGTTGGATTTACTTTTCACAGAATGACAGAATGGTTGGGGTTGGAAGGGACCTCTAGAGATCATCTAGTCCAACCCCTCTGCTCCAGCAGGGACACCCAGAGCACGGGGCACCCAGTCGCATCCAGGCGGGTTTGGGAGTCCTCCAGAGAAGGAGACTCCACAACCTCCCTGGGCAGCCTGTTCCAGGGCTCTGTCACCCTCACAGTCAAGAAGTTCTTCCTCACATGGAGATGGAACTGCCTGTGTTTCAACTTGTACCCATTGCCCCTTGTCCTGTCACTGGCCACCACTGAGAAGAGTTTGGCCCCTTCCTCCCTACATTCTCCCCTTCAAGTATTTATACGTATTGATCAGATCCCCTCTCAACCTTCTCTTCTTCAGGCTAACCAGGTCCAACTCACTTAGACTTTCCACATAAAATAATCTCAGTACTTCGTTTAATCTTCACATACTATTTTGATTCCAGATTATGACTGCTCTTAATGCAAAGTTAGAATGTGGAATCCAGTTTTATCTCCCCTCCTATTTGTTCACAGTTGACCTGAGACCACTTCTGAAACAGGGCAAATTGCCATGAAGAGACCACGGTGTAAAGTAATTTGCTCTGTGATGAGTTATATGCATAGCCAAGCAAAACAGTAGGTGAAGGCAACCACAGGTATTACAACTGCACTCGAACTCCTCCCATTCCACAGAGAAAGCAATAAGAAAATCCAGAAGTATTTTGCTAATTTGAAGTCTAATATTTTGTGGATCTGATATGAGTTATCTGGACCAAGCAGAAAGAATGAACTGGGATAATATTAAGAAAAAACATAAATCAGTATCAATGCCAATGTCAATTCAAAGTCAGCATCAAATTCAATCAATTTATATCACAAATTAATTCTTAACGATGACCTCTATGAAATTATAGAGTAGTCTCGTAAGGAAACAGGCAGAAATGGTGGTCATGCAAAAATATCACCACAGAACACCAGAACATGCCCCTACCAGCCTGACTAGAAAATATAAAGAGATAACCTTCTAACCTTGCTGCCTATATCCTCTGAACATGGAGAAGCATAAAATTAATGCATCTTTACATCTGTAGGATGACTTTCCCCTCTGCCTCCTATTTTTTTTTTCTCCTCAGTGTTTTAGAACCTGACTCGGTTGGATGGAAAAAAAATTAGAGGACTGGTTTTCCCCACACTCAAAAATTTCCAGAAGTGCTTTGATCATGTGCGGGAATTTATTTAGGGGATGCAAATGAAGGCCTTGGCAATATGAAGAAGAAAATCTTCTCCCCTGACATTTCTCAACGTTCAGAGAATTCTTAACAAGCCACTGAAGTATGGGTTCATTGGAGAGACACACAAAAAAAAAAAAAAAAATCAGTAAGCTGAGAAGTACATAGAAAACAGCTAGTTTCATCACAAAAAAACCCTACAGCATTAGCAAGCTTCCTACCTTGTTTATTTTTTTCCCTATATAGACTTACACACTATTGCAAAATATACATCTAGAAAGATGAAAGCAATGAAGATGCATCTTTCCTTACAAGGATAGAGATGGAATATTCTGCTACAT